GAGTAGCCCAAGAGTTGGCGGTGGGTGGTGATGACTAGCTGCCTTCCCTCTAGTCTTACACTGCTAAATTAGGGACGGCTAGCGCAGATAGCCCTCGTGTAGCTTTGCGCGAAATTCCAAAAACAAACAAACAAACTAATTATCATTTTAAAGTTTCAAAATGTTATTTTATATTGTTCATCTCAATAATTTTTTTTTCTCACAGCAAATAAGTACTTCTATAATAGTGACTTGTTTATATATTGAGTTTGTGCTTACAGAATATGACAAGTTTAAACTGTTTTAGGTGTGTGTGTCTCTACACGCATGGACACACACACACAATATGCGTTTTATTACAAAACAAAGTTAAGGGTATGAATGTTCGTATTGAAATTATATTTTCGTTTTCTTACATTTTCGAAGGATGAAAATCTATTGCATTGAATGTAGTAAAATATAAATATCTGATTTAAAACAATTTTTATACTGAATATTGCTTCTGTACACAAACGAAGATTGTTATTATACAAGGGAGCTGAGAGCGTAGAATCCGAAAATGATGTCTTGGACTATCACGTGTTAAAAATATGGCAGTACACTGTTTGGGGGAATTAGCTGTGTATTTTTAACTAAAATCTATACATTCTTTAATCGATAAATTAGCTAGTGTATTCATGGTGAAACAAAGGTGTAAGTGGGCGCCAATCGCCATGCATAGATAGCAGAACTTTATGGAAAGGGTTTCAAAAAAATATCAAACATGTAGCCAGAACTTTCAACATGGATATCTGCTGGAATTGTCTTCAGGATAATTACAAACAAAATATAACAGGATGACAAGCACAAAAACGCCATCTACAAAATCTCTCATTCCTGCAGAGAAACCTACACTGGGAAGAAAGACAAGTGAAGACTAATGACAATTCCAGCATTGTTTAACACAGTTATAGGCTAATTGACACAGGAAGCTTTTTATATAACCACTAAAACCTTCGCTTAGTGGCGTATGTTACCACTGGTTAACACACAATTCTCATTTAAGCCAGAAAGAACAACCCCATCAGCCAATAAGGTTTCAGTAACACCAATGAAACGGAAGTTTTCTCAAACATCCTCACCAAACGGCTTATAGATAAAACGGAATAATTTATAAGACGAAATGTTTCACACTTGGTGTTTTTCATAACCAATTTTGAAGTTTTATTTCTTCCCAGTGTTCGAAATAGACACCCTATTTTTTTTTTATCAAAAACTGTTAAAATCTGACTCGTTAGAATAACGTGACACTGATGTTCCAAAACCAAACAATATAACTACGTTAATATTTAGTACTTGCTTCTTCCACAATCTAAATGTCTCCACTCGGAGTTTACGACATATTCTCATGTAGATTTAACAATACAGGAGGTTTTAGATAACTTTAACAATAAAACTTTACCGAACACGTGACATCATACCTGTCTGGTTGTAAAAGCTACACAAAGAGCTATCTGTGCTCTACCAACCACGGGTATCGAAACCCGTCTTTCAATGTCGTAAACTTGCTCAATAATTAGTACAGTAGCATGGTATATTATCATATTTATTTTTTTATGTGTGCTGCAATTACGTGTTTTAAGTTTGGCGGACGAGTATGGGTGCCTCCCAGAAGCTCAGGGGCAAGTCTGCAGGCTTGGCACTGAGTAGATTGTATTATTTTACATTCAGAATTAAAACCTTTACGTTATATAAAAAAACTACAACTAAAATATTAACTATCGTGTATGTGTAGTATTTATAGAATAAAGTGTCTTAGAAATTCAAAACAAATTTATTAATTATGACATTTTGTGTGTGGAAGGAGATTTTGTAAGATAAAACAATAAGCACCCTAACAAAGGCGAAACGTCAATGGTGATTACATTATAAAGTTAGTTTATTTGTTAACCATATAGAAACGGTTACTGAGCTGTTTTTGCTCGAAAAGTTTACGTCATTTGATAATGATATAAATTACCTGGTTAATCCATGAAATGATCAAATCTTTAAATCACGAACTTATTAATAGTCAGATATTATTGATTAATTAATGCATCTGTAAAGGAACTTCTGACATTTAAAAACAACAACAACAAAACAGGTTTTTTTAAATACATTTACACACTTATCGAGTTCTTCAATCAAATCAATAAACAAGTCTTCAGATATTTCCATCGATAATTAGAAGCTTACAAATGACATGTTTTTAATTTTGTGTACTTCATACATATAATTCATAAAAGAAATAACTTACTTATTAAGGTTTGCAATTAATGATGATTAATAATAAACACTTAAATGGCGTGTACTAAAAGAAACTTAAAGACTGCTTATGGTCTGAAAAGAAAAAGTTTCAACTTATAAACACAAGTCTTTCTTGCGGTATGATATACTTATATGA